GCGTACCATGTGACTTTGAGTGAAATTGTGCATTATGTTTCTCTCTGTGAAGTTTCTTGGAGTGTTGATACCGCGGGTCGGATTTGACCTCTCCAGCACTGGCTGTACCAGAATTTTTGCGTTGCAGTGAAGATGTCGTCTTTCAAAATAAGCGATAATAAAAATGATGAAGCGTCCACGGCGAGCACTTGACGATGAACAATGGAAACGGATCAGAATGAGTATGAGAAGAGAGAAGGTGAGAAGGTTCTCATGTATAGCATGGTGACCACGAAGGTTCAGTCATATAGAGCTTCAGCAGCCCAACACTAATATTTTGGATTTAATTACAGAAACATAATCATATTGCGAAAGTAGAAGCAAGCTTGAACAATCTGTGAAAGACCTCCATGAGAATGACGAAATCAACAACAGCCAGATATTCCCAGATATTCCATCTGAGTAGAGAGTAGATCAGAATATCACCAGATTACGACGAGAATATCAGTCACTGACAGCAAACGCAATCAGAAACAATAAAACATCCAGAAATACACGTGTCCGAAAAACCAGCTAATTCAAAACAGAAGTCGTCGTGTGCGTTCGTATGAAAAATTGCTTCACATAAAAGCTTTTCTACCCTGTCAGGATACTAAAAGGTCCTGACAGTGCAGGAATGCCTACCAATGAACTTCATTCAGCAGCATCGTCAGCTTATACACTCCAGTATAAGTCACGACTAGCCAGGCAATGACTAGCGTAGCAAAATTGAAATGGACGGATGCACAGAAGACGCGGTGAATGAAAGCAAGTTTTTTTTATACAGGGAACTCACTCAAGTCTGCAGAAAGAAGACTATATTCCGTCGTATTGTTCCTCACATGATTAGCGTCCATAAACATTCCCATGTTGACTACCTAAATGACCAAGTACACCCAGCATGTGAAAATTCCAAAGCTGTAAGCGTACCCGCTGCCACTGTAATCTTGAGATAAATATGGGTTTGTCTTCTAACGATAATGAGTTGAAAATCCGCCAGTCTCGCGCAGCCATTTCCTCACGAGTGAAGGTGACCAGGATCGTATCTCGCTCACCACTCTGCATGAATATTTCATTATATATTCAGTTTGAACTTCTTTGCTAAACGTAAATCAAGAAGTAAGACAAGCGCAAATCATCCTGAACATGCAGAATGTTTCTTCCTAAGCTTTCTGCATGGCTCTTTGCTTGTCGTCACAGCGCCAATCGGCGATTCAGTAGTGGGGGTTCTACTGGAACTCTGTGTAGCCCCATACCAGTGAACATTGCGTACCCGACTTGTAATGCACTCTTGGCAAGTTCTAGAGGTGTCCCTTCTACATGAGCTATGGAGTGGCTCTTAGTACTCATTACCCATAACAAATAGATAAGGGAAAGTCAGTATTCAACGGCGATTATGGATCGTGCGTAGTAAAGCTCCAAGTAAAAAAGTGCTAATAGTAACTGGATACTAAAGAAAAACAAAAAAAAACGCGAAAAACGCCCTATATAGGGCTTCCCCGCCGATGCTTACCCGTACGTACAGT